TAACACACCGAGTCTGACATTAACATCACTCAGACAAGCTCAATTTTAGATTTTAAGGGTGACAAGTAAACTTGCCTCTACAATTGAAGGCTTTTGTGCAAAAAGGGCATAAAAAAAAACTCAGTTTTCCAGCAGCATCTTTACAGCAAATCTTTCAAAGGTAGATTTCGATGCAACGCAAACTTAAACAGTTACTTTTAGCAGGTTCAACAGCACGTTTTCTTTTTAAATCCTATTTAGGTGTTTTATTTTTGAAAGAAGTAGAGAAACAGACCAGAAAAAAAGTTCAACCAACCTTGTATCGAACCAGTGTCACAACAAAACAAACTTGAATCCGGCCCATTCAGCTCCTTATTTGCTTGCGCTAATGAACCAACAGCAACAGATTAGCACAATTATGTGAATAATAAAACTTGTATCGGTTCAAACAACTAGCGGCAAATGCCACGCTTCGGTGACTTTATCATTTAGTGAAACAAAAGGTTTCTTTTGTTTTTCGTTCACCAAATTAAAGATCTCCAAAAGATGCTCTTGGAAAACTGAGTTTTTTGCATAGTATATTATGTTATTTCTCGAAAATCTGGGGACAAAAACAGAACAAATGCTTTTATGACGTCGATTAAAGAGCAAAGGCATCATGATAATTCTTGCTTGTTTATTCGTCATTACAATGAAAAATTTCACAAATCATGAAAATCCTTTTCACAAAGTAGTGTATTTTTTACTAGCTGTTTCACAGCTAGGGTGCATCGCAGGCGCGGTAGGTGCTTTCAGAATGCGTCATTTCGTAGCTTTATGTGCCATATGCACATGGCACACAGCCTTTCCAATCCCTGTGGGGGTAGATTGTTAGTTGCCACATCAGGGCTATAGCCAGAAAGAAATTAGGACTTAAGGCAATGTCCATGAAAAAACTGTGACTGAGACAATGATGTCCATGGTTTAATTCTCTTTGTGGGTATTTAGGATCTTAATGATGTCTAATATGTAAACAACAAATGTGAGAAAAGGCTGAGGTTAAATTGCCTCCTTGACCGGTTTGCCAGTTACTACTGAGAGCTTAAAAACAAGCAAAAAGAGAAGGAATCTCATGTCCTGCTGCGGAATAACAGTCCCACGAGAGACTCCCTTATAAAAAAAAAAAGGGACGGGGGTACTTGCTAGAAATTTTGAAAACATGCCCTCAGAGGTACCAAGATCCTGTTTTGCAGTGCAAAGAGGCCTAGGTATCATTTGTAAATCAACACATTTTCCTAACTTTGATAGCAATAAAGATGATCATAAAGCTTCTAATACCCTTTACTTGTAAAGTTCATTGTCAAAATTAATACCTCCTGTTTTTGTTTTGTTTTTTTTTTTCTGGCTCAATGCCCTTAATTAAGGTAGCGCAAAAGCTGCCACTGTGCCCTTTTGAGGCTGAACACCCTGAGAGGTACCAAAACCACTTTTTTAACTCCTAGAAGGTACATCGAGCACCCCTGACCTTTTTAAATGGAATTCCCTTCTCCCCTGGGGGTAACNAAAACAAGCAAAAAGAGAAGGAATCTCATGTCTTGCTGCAGGATAACAGTCCCACGGGGAGACTCCCTTATAAAAAAAAGGGACGGGAGTACTTGTTGGAAATTTTGAAAAGATCCCCTCAGAGGTACCAAGATCCTGTTTTGCAGTCCTAAGAGGCCTAGGTATCATTTGTAAATCAACACATTTTCCTAACTTTGAGTGATAAAGATGATCATAATGCTTCTAATACCTTTTACTTGTAAAGTTGATTGTCAAAATTAATACCTCCTGTCATTTTTTTTTTTTCTGGCTCACTGCCCTTAATTAAGGTAGCGCAAAAGCTCCCGCTGTGCCCTTTTGAGGCTGAACACCCTGAGAGGTACCAAAACCACTTTTTTAACTCCTAGAAGGTACATCGAGCACCCCTGACCTTTTTAAATGGAATTCCCTTCTCCCCTGGGGGTAACACCCACCCCACCCATCTGGAAATTTGCACATGACATCTCATGCAGTTAAGTTTCACACTTTCCCCCTACCCACTGGAATTTCAAATAACCCTCTGGGAGATGGCTTATGGTTATTGCTTGGAACCACTCATTCCAGAAGATTCAATACTCAGTACATATTTTGCCTTAAATTACTTGACAGAGGCTGAGTCAAACAAGACTTCATCAACTCAGAAACCCGCAACAGGTAATGACTTCTCCTGTTTTAATCCTTCAGGTTTTTTTTGAATCAAACAGTTTTTATTTCAGTTGTAATCCCTAATGCAATGAATCATACAGCACCTTCTGTATATATTATAATTTTCTATCAGCTGTAGGCTACGTTCGTTTGTTATTTTATTGGAACTTGTCTTAACTTAAGTTTTTATCTAATTTCAGACAGCTTCAATGTAAATCAGTGCCGTTTAACTGTTTGAATTCTGTGGTTAAAAGAGTTCATTCATTCAGTCACTCACTCACCTCACTCACCTCACTCACTCATTTCATTCGTTCAAACAAGTAGCGCTCACTCTGATCACCGTAAAAGAAATTCATGATCAAAATTTCTAAACTCAAAAGTAAAAAAGCACCTGGTATGGACACTCTTCTAAATGAAATGATCAAACATGGACGGTATTATCTCATACCTTCTCTAGAAACACTGTTCAATGACATCTTCGAAACTGGCACCTTCCCAACTGAATGGAACATAGGTGTCAAAAAACCAAAAAATTAATATACAAAAAGGAAGGTGACAAGAAATGCCCAGCCAATTACAGAGGAATCACTTTGACCAGCTGCTGAGGAAAACTGCATAGTTTATTTATTCTCTGCTAACTATAATCCACATACACCAAACAGCACAAAAAGCTTTATGTTGGTTTCAGTGATTATGAAAGAACTTTTGATAGTGTATGGCAATGCAAAATGATCCATAAATTTAACACTGCATGGTAAAATATGAAATTTATTAAGTACTAATTGTCGTCATCATCAAATTACATCAATTTGATCATAGGGTCGGTAGTTGACTGACTTATTAGGTGTCTTTATCATATTCATATTCTTGGTATTGGACTGGAACTACATTGTAGCTAATGCAATGGAGGCTCAATCAGGGAATTATCATTAAAAAGAGATTAATGTAGTAGTACATCTAGAAGAAGGACTTTATTGACATTGATAAAATTAATGTCATTTAAGCATTTGACAAGAGTCCCGCATATAAACCTCAGTTGCAGCAAGCAGTTCATGTCCAATACCGAGAATACAAATATACCTGCCTTTCTCTCTTCCAACTTGTGGCCTAATTGTCCCTAAGATGTTCTTCAATGGTGGAAAGTGTCAATCTAGTTATTATAGCTAGAGAAGAAAAGAATTCTTGAGGCCTTGGAAATTCTGTGCCAGTCCCCATGGATTCATGGGTCGGGGACATGGATCGGGATTCTTTTAATTGATTTCATATTTTCATTTAAATCCTCATTATACTATGCATATAGATTTTGTTTCATTTCTTAAAGGTCAGATTTTGAGAGAATATCAAAATATTGAAAAATTCGTAAATATTTTTCTGAAAAAAAGCATGATTTCAAAAAAGGAATGCATAGCTATGTTTCCAACGTTGGCTTTAATCGAAATTAGTCGAAAAAGGCTGGATTGAATGAAAAACCGCATTTCCTTTGGCATTTAAAGGAACCGGAAGTGTGCCAGATATATTTTGGAAGTTACCCTATCAGAGCATGCACAATTTACACTACCAGCGCATTTCGGTAAGATCAAACAAGGCCACATGGAGTTTTTCTTTTTCTATTGCTCTTGTTTTTCTGTCTTTCTCTTATTTTGTCTTTGCCTGTACTTTTTTCACTTTGCATTTTGTGAAAAACAAAGAACAACATCTAAAATTCAAGCAAATTTGCAAGTTATTGAGTTGTTTTTATTTTTTGCTCTCAGGCTGACCTAAATAACCGGAAGTGAAATTTCACCTCCCTAGTAACATGCGTGAGCTCACGCATACATGTAGATCAGTTAATGGGTCCTTAAGCTCCTTAAGTATCAATAATATATGTAAATGATAACCAGTCAAAACTAGTTCGTAATGCTTGTAACAAGCATTTTCATTAATCATTTTCTAAATAGTTGAATAGTAAGCTTATTGCATATTAATTTAATAATATAAATATAGATGTGGCCCACCTTAAGATTGGTCTAGACTGCCTGCGGGTTCATCTGTCATTATATTTAAGTTTCTTACTTAATTATTTTTAATAATAAAGTATAGATGTAACACAACTCATTAACCTAAAATTCATTTAAATTATTGAAAAGGGAATAATTAAAAGTTTTGTTGTTGTGTTGTTGTTGTGAAATAAGAATTTTGCCACCTTTAATAAATAAATGTTGATTCCATTCCACCATATCAATTTCAGCTGGTATAACAGCACCAACAAATTCAACTGTGACATCAAGGTTAAAGCCAGATCCTGATGGTGAGTTCATTAGCGCTGGCACTGTAACTAATTAAAAAAGATATCATTATAATGACATTTAGGTAAGTGAGAGTTTTAGGGATGAGCTAGTCACCACTAACATAATGTTGCTAATTTAAAATCAATTTCAGTTGGTACACCTACAAATTCAACTGTGGCACCAATTGCAAGTTTGAAGCCATATCCTGATGGTTAGTACATAAATACTGTTGGCAGTAACTTAAATTAATATAGATTTAGCCAAGCCCAAAAGCAGAGGTACTGATTACAATAAATTAACCTTGCTTGAGCCTGCAATCCAATTGAAAACCAGTGCTTACTCAGTGGTAAACTTACAAAAAATTATGTGATGTCCATGAGGTCATGACCTATAGTTATCTGTCTTTGAAGGGATGCATAAACAAAAAGCACCTAAGTGACCACTGATATACTGCTACATGTACATTATGTACACTCTCTGTGTAAATTTTAAATATTGCCTTAATGTGCAAATCGACCTTCTATGAAAAAAGGAGAATTTATCATGGGTTCAACCCCGGGGGATGGGGGTGGGGGGGTGGGGGGTACTCCCAGAAAAGTTGGGTGGGGATATGTGCAGCCCACTTCTCAAAACCCTTACCCTATTTATGACCAAAATCTGTGATTTTCCTACCCTATCTACATTTATGACCTGGCCAAAAATTCAATACCCTATTTATGACCGTTGTGGCTGGCGCAGTTGCCTTAAACTTAAGTTATGAAGGGCTTTTGTTGAAGTTGTTATTGAAAACGAACAAAAAGTAGCTTCTTGTAAGAAACATACCCAATTAAAGACTAGAGTGCTAAAACCATACTCTATTTATAACCAAAATGGCCAAAATCGATACCCTATTATATTTATGACTAAAATGGCTGAAAAACCCTACCCTTTGAGGTTGCACATACCTAAGTACATAGCCCATATAAGGGAGTACCCCTCCCCCCCCCTCCGGGGTTCAACAGAAATAGAGGAGAGAAAATCTCTGGAATCAGGGTAACCTCCAGAAAAGAAACTTCATTTGTAATAGGTAACCCTGAAGTCAGAGATGTTAATTTTGTTTTCTTATATATACTTTTTTTAAACACTGCAATTTTGTAGAATTTAATTAACTCAAAGATTTGTTTTAATATCATATGTTCTTTCAGCTGGCAAACTTGAAGTGGGCTTGATCGTCAGTCTTGTGGTGGGTATCCTGCTGGCACTAGTACTGATCGCAGCTCTGTTTGCTTACCTGTACAAAAAAAGAGCGAGAAGGACAGCCACTGAACAACAGTTGCCAACCCAGCCATGACAATACCTGTAATGGGAGTAATGAGATTAGGACAAAAGAAACTGCTATGTAGAGAATGCATCCTCTGATGTCCTGGATTGTGCAATAATTTTCTTGCTTTTGGTAGACAATAGTTTTTATTGTCAAAGGTCATGTGAACTTGGAGTAGCCAAAGTACTCAGCATTAATATGCTAGTTTTTAAAGTTTTCAAGACGGTTTTCTCTAGCTTTTACCAACCTGAAAATTGAATGCCCAGGATTTTTTTACACAGAAATAATTTTACATAATTAGTTATGTATGTATTTACAATCTATCAAATATTTTCCCTCATATGCGATTGGTCTAAATGTGTCACATGACTAAATATGCCCCAGCTAAAATTGGGGAATGTTTAAGTGATTAGTAAATATAAAATTCCCCAATTTTCAAAACTGTGCATGTGTGTTGCGAAAAATATTTGACGGATAATAAACACAATAGCCTCCAGTTAGCTTGAAAATATACTCGGATATTTGTCCTTGGACATTCTCTGTTCCTAATGAACCTCAGAGATTTCCTCAAGCTATGCTCTCGGCAAACTGTTCGCTTCTCAGAACACATGTCTCTGGACAAATATCTGAGCATATTTTTGCACCAAATGGAGGCCATAAAGTTTATAATAATATATTTATTATTTTTCTCGATCCCAACTATTTAAATAATCAGTGTAGGTAATCATATGAATGTGAGGACAATTAAGGATTTACACTATGAGGGATATCTGAAAAATCTCTTAAAATTGCACCTTAACAGGCCAATGTAATTTGAAAGATTTCTTTATATAATGTGAGTAGTGAAAATCCATTATTGTTCGTCTGAGTTTTCATATGATTACTCACATACTATGACTGAGAAAATTACACTGCTGTGTTTAAAACTTGCTGACAAATTAGCCTCCTCTCAGCAAATCACTAAGTAATTTTTTCATTCATATAATACTTTTTTATCCAGTTTGCTTAATTAGTTGTTGTTAATATGTGCATATTAGTGTTCCAGAAAATGCAAGTACCCACTTCACAGAGCAGTTATCAACGGCCAAAATTATGGTAGGAAAGTAAGAGATGTAATTGGAATTGGGCTGGGTTGGGGTTGAAAAACCGAAAACCCTCTCTGTGGGGAAATATAGGTATTTTCTGGAGCAAAAAAATTTCCCCTAGAGTCAGTGTTTTCGGGTTACCCCATGAATTGAACTTTTATACATGAAGTAGACTACTTTTCGTTCTGACTTCAGAACTGCTTGTTTCTTGGTCATGCTCGGATGAGTTTTCGTCACATGACATCGTTTTGCATACTAAATGAGACGTAAAGGCGTCTCCGGTTCCGCTATACCAAAATCTAAAATTTTAGGCGAAAAACTGAGGATTTTAAAAGTGATTTAATAAATAGTGGTAATTGAACTTCGTGGAGTGCAATTTTGGTCTGAAATTATACTTGTGATTTCAAATCGAACTCGCGCTGCGCGCTCGTTTGATTTTGAAATCATGCATATGATTTCAGACCAAATTGCACTCCACTCTGTTCAATTACCATTATATATTGTTATAATATGAATGTAAGAAGCATCAGTAATGGTATTATATCGTAAGTAGTGTAAGTATTAGTATCGTAAGTTAGAAAATTAATCGTATTGTTTTGTAGAGTAAGTTGTGCACATCTGTAATTGCATCATATTGGTAAGTGGTATAAGTAGTGTAAGTAGTTGTATGACTGTTGTAAATAGTTATCACTGTTGTAATTAGTAGTTGTATTACAGTGTTGTAAGTAGTGTGAATCACAATTAAAGTATTAAAAACAAACAAACGAAAAAACAGACAGACAGATAGTGGCCAGAAATGTTCTAACCACCCCCTGGCTAGGAGATTGTCCATTGCGTATGCAATTGGCATGGGCCTATCCAGCAGCGTGCCATGTCAACACACAACCCTCAAACAATGTTCAATAGCTGAGCCAAGTGCCCAGCAACACAGTCAATAGCAAGGTTATTTGGCACTGAAAAGTTTAGCTAAGTGAAGATGTCAGTAAGACACCCTCCCCTTTCCCCTGCCCTCGACAGCCCCCCACCCCCTCCTCCCTAGGTTTATGGCCACTGGCTAGACCTGGACGGCCTGGGTTCGGGCTTCGTCCGAATCCAGGCGAAAACCTAGCAAGCAATTGCTTTTGCGAAATCGCTCAGATATATATGTACAAGATCAATCAATAACTTTATTGAAGTGTGGAGCCCATCTAACCGAGGGTAAAGACCCTCTACTAATTAAGGACATTTGAAGAAAAAAAAGAAATTACAAAAATGATATTGAAACACTGGTACCTAATTATCAATTAAATCTAGAAATTCAGCAGTGCAATTCCAGTTTTCTGATTGTCTCACGACTCCCGGCTTGTAGCCGAGAATTGAACGTCATCGAAATTGGACGGGCGATTCATCGATTTTTGCGACCTGTAATTTTACACTGAAAAGATTGATAAAAAGCATGAAGTCATTGAATGTAAAAAACATTTTCCTCTATCAACTATAGTACAAAAAAGCATTAAAAGCAAACCAAACTTAATTAAACAAAACCTTCTAGACCCAAAAACCTACCCAAAGTGACTGGAACCTGATTTACGGCTCAGGACCCATTAAGCTTGTTACTTGGTGTAACACTGGATTCCACCGGGGTAGGACTTCCAAACCAGCGGCATTTTGTCACCGTATTTGTCCTTCGTTCAGCGACGTTATCGGTTATGAGCTCAATGTCTTGTCAAGCTTTTAAAATTCTTGGTCAATTTGACTCCTTACGGGAATATGATGTCAGGGTGACGCTCCGCACCAGGGGGGACTTCCAAATAAAAAGAACGGGGGTGCTCGTCGTACCTATTAGGAGTTTAAAAGGATTTTGGTACCTCTTAGGGTGTTCAACCCTCAAAATTTCCACAGTGGAAGCTTTTGC